GGCTGCCGCAAAAGCGGCTAGATGCCACAGCCACCATGCAGATGGTCTGCCAGCCACTGGAGTGCATTCACACAAGAAGAGTCACCAGCAGAGACAAAGAAGAGGATGTATCTTTCCACAAAACCCATTTCAGAGTGACAGAAGAAGCATCTGATCTATGATAGTATTGGGGGACCTGATCACATCTCTCAGCATTGGACAGATCATCTAGGCAACAAATTAACAGAGTAATCATTGTTCTTTCAGGAGAGAAGAAATCTAGGACAATTAGAGGGGGGAGGGGAAGGGAATGGGGGATGGGGAGAGATTGGACAAGGGACAAAGAATAAATACGATGTGTAACAATAAGTATGCTAGTAATATTGATTTAATCAACATATCTCAATGTTAACCCCAAAAATATGTATAATCAATTTTGATTCAATAAAGAAAATAAATTTTTTTAAAAAGTGGGTACTGTTTTGCATACTTTATGGAGGTGAGAAAACCAAGGCTCAGAGAGGTTAAATAACGTGCCTTTGGTCATACAGCTAGAATGTGGCTGAGCTGTGATTTTAGACCTGCGTATGTCTAAACCATAGTCCATGTGACTTCACTAGGCTAAAATAGAGAGTGGCAGGGGCCTATTTATCTTTTCACTCTCTTTTGAGTAGTAACTCTCAATTGCTCTTTTTTTTTTTTTTTGTTAGATGTTTATAAATCAACAGTTCTACTAGAAATAACACTACATATGCAACATTTATTTCCTATGTCAAAAAGTGTCTGAGCATCTGATGTTTGTAAACTATTTATTTTTATTTTTGGCTGTGAATTTTTTAATTCATTTTGTATGACTTAAGTGAGTTCAGTCTAAGTTCTCATGGTTATCTTAACGTAACGTACTGATATACAACTCCTCAGACAAAAAGTTAGCAGAGTATAACAATTCTCAGGCCTCTTTCCCTGATGGGTAGGAGTATATTTTTGGGAAGTCTGATTTGTGAGCCTGGGGGATCGGCTCACACTCCTTTAGCACAGTCTGGGCCATGCTTCATGGGGACCCTGTGAGGTCGGGTGTGGCCCTTCTTTGAAAGTTCGCCGCTGAAAAAACAGGGGTGTGGCCCCACCCAGGAACTGAAGCTAACTCCATTGCTGGCTGAATATATGAGGGAAGAGTCTAGGGTCTGTAATTTTGCATGGAAGAACTCTCCCTTTGAGAAAGTAGAGGGTTTGGGGAATATGAAACAAAATGGACTTATAAAAAGATGACTTGTCACTTACCACACAGAGACTGTCAGGCGTGGCCTCATCCCCTCGCCAGCTGCCAGGAGCAATAGCCAATGCCTTATTCACAGACTGCTGCACCCCTTGCTATTTCCTCTCCTTGCCATCACAGTGAAAGGTTAATGTTTATACATAGTCGGTGTTGTATCCGTGCCACAACTGCCACCCTGGTTTCTTTTTTAAACCTCTCTCTCTCTTTTTTGGCGGCTGGCCAGTACAGGGATTAAACCCTGGACCTTGGTGTTATCAGCACCATGCTCTAACCATTGAGAAAACCGGCCAGCCCCTCTGCTACTTGCTTTTACCGTTTTACCTGTTGTACCTGCTTTGGCCCTTTTGGGTTTCATTTTCTTCTCTCCTTCCTTTGTGCTAATACAGCTACATTCCCAGAGATTGGTTCTTCCTAGTATTTGGTATATTTGGAGGAAGGAGGTGTATTCTTCCTTATGTGAAAGGGATAGGGGGGTCTCTTTCAAAGGGAAGTTTGGAAGTTTTCTAAATTAGAGGTCTGTCTTTCTACAGTTCCGATACTAAATGAATTTATTGCCCTGTGCTCCTGGGCCTGAGCTTGTGACTTCTCCCCTGCTGCCGAATCCTCCACTCAGAGAGACAGTGCTTAGTTACCACTTTTGAAGCATTTCTTTCTTTGATGTTCCCCACTCATATATGCTCAACCTGTGCTGGACAGTAAGCCCTGTGAGGGTGGGGTGGGTTACTGAGTCTGAGCTCCCCATGCTTAGGCAAGTGCCTGGCACACAGCAGAGGTTGGCAGATGTTTGCCGAATGAACAGGCTTTGGCAGACAGTTGCTATATTAGTTAAAAATATAGCATCATAGTCCTGTAGGTCTTAGCTGCTTTTCTGGGATTTACTTTTCAGTTGATCTTTTAATAATGAGATGTTTAGCCTGGAAGGATCTTGGAGATTTTGGGGTTCATGTCTTTTCTGTTGCTGCTCCCTGCAGTTTCCTTAGTTTTTAATCTCTGAGAAGGAAAGATAATTGTTACATAAGAATGTCTCCGTTATCTGTATGTGGATGATCCAGGGAAAATTTCTCTTTCCACATGGGCTTCCTCTTTTGATTTTCCTCGAGCTTCTGGGACTGCTGCATGTGCCCTGCTGGTATTAGGGGGGCTGAGGAGGGGTGCTAAGTCCAATAGCAACAGCAAAACCTGTAATTAAGAAGTGACCAGCAGGGCTGGCTGGTTAGCTTAGTTGGTTAGAGTGTTGTGTTATAATACCAAGGTCAAGGGTTTGGATCCCTGTACTGTCCAGCTGCCAAAAAACCCCCCAAAACCAAAAAACAACCCCCCCCCCCCAACAGAGCAATTCTAAATTTCAATGAATTATTCACTCCTATCAGTTCTTTTCCTACTCCTTCTTTGAATTCTCACTTAAGTGATAGGGCTAGGTTGTATATATGCTATATACATGCAATTAGCCATTTTGTGTGTTTTTAATGGTGAGCCCTTGGTTTTCTTGATTTCTTAAATGAAACCATTTTGCCCTCTTGGTCACACCGCTGAAAGCAGCACCAGATCTTTGCAATCAGAACCTACTAGGCCAGGAAGCACCTCAGAAGTGATCTACTCTAGTCCCTTCATTTGGTAGCAAATGAGGGAACAAGCTCCGGAAGGTTAGTAAGCCCAGGGCACGGGGTTAGTTAGCAGCCGACCCAGGACTAGACCTCAGGGCTTGCTGGAATGGTGTACTTTCCACAATACCGCTTTGCCCTGTCGACTTCCCTTCCCATGTCTGTGAAATTCTAAGTCTCTTATTCTACACTTTTTATTATATGCTTTAGAGTCTTTGGCTGGTGTAGAAACCAACACAACCTCATTTTTTTCTTCAGCTATGACTGGTAGCTGGCTAATTGTGGATTGGAGAGAGCAAGGCAAGCAGAGAGATGCTATACATGTTTAAAATTTCCTTGGAAATAGTCACTGAAGCTTTTGCAAAGTAATTTTAATCCACGGTTGTTGTTATTCCTAACCATTAACACCAAAAATGAGATTGCTTTGTGGTGTTACATGGGCGGATAGAATGCTCCCAGGAGTTTTGAGGCCTGTCCCTGAAGCTAAGGAAAGAACACATTATGTTGTGCTGATACCTCTCTGGTATCACTCGATACACTGGCCCATCAGTCATCACCAGGACAGTGCTGACACTGAAAACTTACTGAGATAAGTTATAGTCAGTACACCCTTCTTAAGGTCTAAAATCAAAGACCTTGAGACCTTGCGGTGTTCCTGCAAGTTCTGTAGTGTGTGTAACACCAGTGCACAGTGAGGAGAAGGGACGGATGCCTGCTTGGAGAATATCCAGCTGTGTGGATGGTGTGGTGTGGCTGGCTGAAGAGACATGTTTCCAAGGCATTGTTTTTGGGAGGATACATCAACAGATTGTAATTGCTCTTTCTCTCTTTGTCTTGAAGATGTTTAGGACTCTTCATCTTTTCTGAGCTGCTACTCAGATTTGAATCTTGATCTTGCAGCCTTTCTTTAAGTGTTCAAATGTCTACCCACACAAGGACCATGGGGACCTATTCCATTTAGTGGAAACAACATAGAGGACCTGGATTAAAACAGAGCGTGGTCTTCACTCTAGTAGTTGTGTTGTTCTTGGATGATCCACTTCACCACTGTAAATCCTTATTTGTAACACGGGGGTGTCATCGTTGGGAGGATTAAATGAGAGCACCCACGTGGAAGTAAAAGTAAAAGGTCTCAGTAAAAGTAAACAGTTGGAGATAGTGAGGGATGGTGGGCTTTGGGATCAGGCTTCAGGCAAGCTCTGTCGCTTCCACTGAAGAGTTAAGTTTCTTTTGGCAGGTTAGTTTACTTCTTAGAACTTGATCTCCTTTGGAAACTGGAGTAATAATGCCTACTTGGTTATGTTGCTGGGAGAATGAAGAATTAACCTACGAGTTAGGTGCCTGATATACTTGACTTTGTCGGGGTCGTGAAACACTGCAGTTTGGCCATTTGTGATCACATATTAGCTACTGCATAATGTCATGTAATGGTTGAGCTCCTTAGATGATATATTACTAGTGAATTCTTCAGTGATAAGAGGATTTAACCAATATTTTCCCCTCCAGGGTGTGGGGAGGCAGAGAGGTGGGATGAGACTGGAGGGAATGGGAGGTAGGGGTGGGCAGGCAGGGAAAGTCTGCTGCTTGTATCTTGGCATAGAGATTTGTTTGGAAGATAAATTACCTTCTGGTAATTGTGTATCACTTGACAGATCAGTGATTAGTGCCAGTCAGTGAGTACTGCCAGTTAATATTTGTTAACTGCTGTGCTTCTTGCTGATAAATATTGTGAAGCTATAAAGATCATAATGTTAATAGAATTTGCTAAAGAGAGGCTTGATATGTATCTTTAAATATTGTTTAAAATAGAAATGGCCAACCTAACCATTTCTATTCTGAGGGAATGATGTTTTTGCAGAAGGGAAATTTAGCAAACACAGTTTTGCAAAATTATTAAAGAAGTGTTGCTTTTAGCCACTGACAGACTAGTTTTATTTAATATATCCTCTAGGAAGAATATAGTCTGAAGGAATGAAGACCATAATTGGTGGATGAACCTGGAGAGTTTGGGGGAGGCGGAGGGGGAGAGGATGTGTGTGTGTTTCAAGGTTGTTTTTGTGTGGAATGTAAAAAGAATCCTGGCTTATCTGCATTTTTTTCTATGATTGCTCATGTGTGGTATGGCTTGTTTCTCTTCTAGGATGTGGAGAAAGAGAAGGAAACCCACAATTACCTCAGCAAAGAGGAAATCAAAGAGAAAGTTCATAAATACAATTTAGCAGTCACCGACAAGTTAAAGATGACCTTGGTAAGTACCCATAATACTGTTTAGGTTGACACCTGTCAAAAGACACTTAAAAGTTGTTGGTACGGGCTGGCCCGTGGCTCGGGAGAGTGCGGTGCTGATAACACCAAGGCCACGGGTTCGGATCCCATATAGGGATGGCCGGTTGACTCACTGGCTGAGCATGGTGCTGACAACACCAAGCCAAGGGTTAAGATCCCCTTACCGGTCATCTTATTTAAAAAAAAAAAAAAAAAGTTGTTGGTACTACAATCTGTATATTTTTAAATCTCTGAATAACACTTGCGGAAGTTTAGTGGCCAAGGTATGCAGGGCAGGAAAATGGAATATTTCTGCAGCTTTCAAATTAAATCTGTATGTTGAGGTAGCTCAGTCTCAAAATCAATCAGGTGCTGGGTTAACCTCAGAAAAGTGAAACATTAAAAATTTTAATTTTAAATGAGATTTTAAAAGATTTTGTGACACCCTACCCCCCAAAGGATTTTTAGCTTCATTGCCTAACATATAGATTGGTGACTCAGAGTCTAACAAGACCTCAGATAAGTTTTATATTGTGTACAATTAATGTGGAAGTGTCAGGAAAAGGATATTGTGCCCATGGGTTGGAATATAGTTGAGCTAACGTTTTTCTCTGCTGGTTTCCGGTGTAAGATGAGGTATGTGGTATTCAGCTTCCTGCACGTTGTTGTCACAGGCTTTACAACATTGTACCACACAGTGTGAAGCACAGTGGGGAGTGGGAGTATAGGGGGGAGAAGGGTCTGGGCTTGGTGACAATGAAATCAGAGCTGACAACAAAGCTGGAGTGTTCATGCTCCTGTACACTGAACTGGTGTTTCTGCGTCACCCACCCGCTTGGTGATCTTCCACATGGCGCCTGCCATCCCTTGGTGCCAGTTACCAGGACCCTTGGATCCTTGCCTCTCAGTCTATTGAGTGTGAACTGACAGAGTTCAGAAAAGGACAGGGTGACCCCTTTAAAACAGGCCCTACTGAATTCTGTGACCTTGGGGAGGAGCTTTTAAATATAAACCCATGTGAGAAAGGATCTTTCCCCAGTGGAACTGTGCCTAAAAGAGGGGAGAGCGGCATATAATCCCAAGATTATTCTTCATTATTCCAACAGTGATATTTCTTTTTCAAACACATTTTTTCATCAAAGGAAAAAAATTCTACTTACCATGTTTTGTTTTCTTTCCCCATGGAGATTAAAACAGATGCAAGTTTCCATATTATTTCAAAGATAAAAATTTTAAGTGTTGTAGAATACTATTTTTTTTTACAAGAACGAACAAGTGAATAGTATTGTAAGTTGATCTTGAGGAAAGGAAGAATAGACCATAAAGGAGGTTTTTAATGTTCTACTTTAACTGTGGCATTTATATATAGCACCTGACAATTTGTTTTAATAAAACATTATAATATATTTTTTCTAAATATACTAAATGCAAAAAAAAAAAGAAATGAGAACAAGACCATCATTACTATTTTTGGCTACTGAGAAATTATAATTCTACCATAAATTAAGACAAGTGTTTATAATATCTGTAGTTCACGTAGTAGCTTGAATTTGTTTTTAAAGTATTGCTGCTTAAGGTGACTGAAATGCATTTCATGCTATATGATATATATGCTGTTAAAAAATGTGTATGCAAAATTGGTAATTCAGTACATATTGTAATAGGCACTAGGAATGAAAATAGCCTGTTTTTTTACTCTCAGCCGACTGTTGACATAGGTATTACAGAGTCCTAATTGTGACCTTTCTTATCTGTGTAATAACTAGTCATCGGTTGAGGATGTTGTTTCCTTTGGGCAGTTAGCCTAGACATATCCCCCAAGTTTTAATATGTGCTGTGGTTTGGCTCGCGTCTGCTGTGCTGGCTTGAAACCTCACCAGTGGGCCCTGACCTTCCACATGCAGCTTCAGGGGCATGAGCCTTGAAACTTCAGTCTCTGCAGCATCAGGAGGCCTCTTCAGTTGCCACATCTGCCCCACAGACCTTGTCTCTGGAAGCACTTTGACAGCGGCATGTGTTAACCTCCCACTGAGGTCATTCTCTTGGGGGAAATCTTTAGTGAAGTCTGCCACAAACCTCTGAGAGAAAAGAGCAGAGAAAGAGTGTGTCGCCTTCCTGTTTTGTTTTGATACGCTGCTTCCCTAAAATGCCAGTGTCCACCCAGCTAAGTGTATGCTTTTCTTCCCACTTCAGAATTCAAATGGGATTTACACTGGCTTCATCAAAGTACAGATGGACCTCTGCAAACCTCCACAGACTTCTACCACCCCTGGAAAACTCGCTCCTGGTAGCAACGGCTGTGTGAACACACTTCATATCAGCAGCACAAACACTGTCGGGGAAGTGATTGAGGCCCTGCTCAAAAAGTTTCTTGTGACTGAGAGCCCTGCCAAGTTTGCACTTTATAAACGTTGTCACCGGGAAGACCAGGGTATGCTGCCATGCTCAAAATGAAAATGGTCCCTGCTTCATCTTATGGCTTTTGTCCTCATTAGCTGAAGGAGGATGGCGGGTGTATCTGTGTCAATTATGTCAGAGCCCAGGGACAGATTCTGGAAGTGTGGTGATCATGGCATGCACCTAATCATGTGTCCTGGCTGTCCATGTCCTTGAGCTAGACAGTTGTGAGTCTCAGGAGCTCATAGGCATTCACATGTGAGGGGTGTTTATGGGGGATTTTGTGATGTGCACAGAGAAGTGGCTTTGATTTTTTTTCTTTTGAGAGAGAGGAGTGGCTTTGATTTTAATGCTCTTTGGGACACAAAAGAATGCTTCTGTGCTTGAAGTTCTCAGTAGCACATTCCACACACGATGTGCATCTGCACATGGAGTGGCTTGGTGGGCCTGTGATCACTGAGACCTTGAGAACATGTGCATTGCAGCTCATTTCAACTTACAGATGGAACGCCCCGGCCCTGGGCTCTGCTGGCTGCTTAGTATGACTCAATTGGCATGACCCGGGGACATTTTGGCACCTTGCCCCCAGAGGCACCTAAAATGAATGAATAACATATTGATCTGAGGTCTGTCTGTGTAAACATTATACCCACATTTCAAGAGATAGAAAGAGAATAATATTAAGTTACTGCATGAAACAAGATATTCCAGGTGAGGCAGTCAAGTGGAAATTGATACCAGTGGGGGACAGTAGTGATTTAGTTTTTCACTACATGTTAACTTGAAAATGATGTGTATGTGTGAGCAATAAGCTATTTAAGTTCTCTCTAGTTTTTCCACATAAAGCCTAAAGCAGCTGTAGGAGAAAATATACTGATCTTGTCCTAATAGTAATATCCTTCAGTCACTCGAGATTAAAAACCCAGCTAGTTGCTGAGTGTATGTACGTTTTTTGAACACATACCATGGGGCTAGGCCACATGGAATACAAAGGTGAATTGGCCAGGGTTCTTATTCTCAGAGGCCACAGCTTCACAGCCTGGGGGAAGTTTATATCTATAGGAAAATTGGCAGGAAATGCGGTTGTACCCAGAAGTGCTGAAATAATGTAGAGAAGCTCAGATGGCCTTTTATCTTGCCAGCTTCTTTGCCTGCTCACCTGGATTTGAACTGCACAATCTGAAAGTAATATTGAAATATTGCCCTCATGGCTGGCACCTCTTTCAACACTATTGGCAATGCCTGTATCCGCTGTGTGTCTGTGTAGCATAAGATGGATAGGGCTGTGCTTGAAGCCACCAGAGCTTGTATTGTGATTGGTTTGTCTGTGGCTGCTCATTCTAAATTTGTAGAGAGATTTGCTCCTAGAGCTCTGATGTCAAATTCTTTAGATGGTATATCTTTGTTTTTAAAGGGGTTGCTAATCTTTCTTTTAAGTTCCTTATCTTGCTTTTCTAAAAAATGGAGCAGAACTAATTATAAGCATGTTTGGGACTAATACCAATTTAAATTATTCTTGAAAATTATTTCCTCCTTAATCAATTTATATTGGGCAGATAGAATAGGAATAGGATAGATTTCGTTCCACCGTGGGCTATTGGTAATAAGGTGAGGAGAATGGTGACTTAGAGGCTGGGGTAATGTGGAGGAGGGGATCATAATACGGGGGAGTGGTCCCAGGAATGATGAAATACTGTGTAACATGCTGCTTGTTTCCTTACCAGTCTATGCCTGCAAGCTCTCAGACCGGGAACATCCACTCTACCTGCGGTTGGTAGCAGGGCCCAGAACAGACACACTTAGTTTTGTTCTTCGTGAACATGAAATCGGAGAGGTAAGTGATTGTTCATTATTGGTTTAGCCTATACAGAACAGCTGGTCCTGTTTTATTGTTCTGGTCTAATGACTTGGCTAATGAGGAGGAGGGGGGGGGTGAGGGAGAGAAGAGATTTTGAATCTTTGGAATGAACCCAAAGTTAGCCTACAGTATAATTCTCTTACAACATTATATTGAGCTGTAATTTTCAGAGGTGGGAGGAAATAAAATTTTTTACCTGATCCCCATCTAAAGAGTCATTTTCACTCCTTCCCACCTCCAAATTACTCTAATCCAACTAAATTTTGAAAGGTGACACTCTCCATATGTTTGCTACTAAGAAAAGTCTCCAGGCTAATTCTGCTGTAAAGGGAAATGTAAGGAAATCTGATCTCTTTACCATGAAAGACACGTAACTTTCTAGAACCTTTCTTCCCCCTTTGCTCGGTCAAATGATTAGGAAATTATGTTTCCATGTGCATCATTTGCTATTCTTTCTCTAGGGAAGATCATATTTAGGCCAGTTCAGTTGAAAAAAAAAAAGCATGTGAGACTGTGTCAGCTTTAGAACAACACTGAGCAAATCTCTCAAGCTGTGGGTCTCAGTCTTCTGTCTGGAACAGGGAATGGTATGAAATGTCCCTGTAGGACATTTGGGGGTACAGTGAAAAAGTTAGGAAACCAGGACTCTGCTTCCTACTGTTTGTTAGATTGGGAGCATGAGCTTGGGTAAATCTTCTAATCATTTAGCCTTTGGTTTTAAAATCTGTAAAGTGGGTCTAAACACTTTAAAAGGCAGAGTTGAGTCAGATTAGAAGTGTATGCAAACATGCTTTGTAAATAGTACATTTATATGCAAGTGTAAATTAGAACTTTAGGAAGTTTTAGGAAGGCAGTGATCTTAGACATTTTTGAAGTTTCTTTTGATTTTGGTGTTTTGAAGCTTTTAAAGAAATTCAGAGTCTCATTTTGGGGAGGAAACGGGGTGCAGAAGTCGAATTTGGCTTTGTAGTTTAGCAGCATTTCCCCTGAAAACCTAAGCCAGAGACATTAGCATAGTCTTGTCAGTGTTTTGTTTTTCTTGTTATTGGTCTTTTAAGTATTTCACACAGTTTAAGTGCAAACAGAGCCACATTGTCTGGGGAGGAATTATGTTAACTTATTTTTGAAATTTACTTTGTATTGTGTTGTGATGTTCCAGACCTCTTTATTGGACCTGTGTATGGTGTTCTTGTTTCTCTGTTATTTAAGGAAAACTGAACCAAGGGAAGAAATTTTTTATAGCTGTTTTAGGGGGTGGGAAGGAGAAGATATTTTATAATGTTATGTGCCACGTAAGTTAAGGTCTTGGAGACCTTAACATATGTGAAAAATAAAATGTTAAAATTTAAAAAATTAACAGAATATTCCGATGTAAGAAGTTTTGCTCTCCTACTCCACATTTCACATGTTTCCATACTGATCTCCAGGAAGCCTTCTGTTATTTAGCCCACATGATTTTATTCCCTCTCCTCTCTGTTTATTTGTATTAGGTTTTCTGTAGTCTTATCAGACATGGCCGTGGCAGTGATTCTCAGCCAGGGTCCAGGGCTCCTTTGATGGGGAAGGATGTGTTTGAAAAAACTTGCCAGATGATGATGCCAAATGCCCTTGGTGACATTCACAGCCTTAATTTTTAAGTAGTTTAAAAAAAACAAATTGTGCCTGCTAAATAGCAGGAACCATTAGGAAAACAGAACTCAAGAGCCTCAAGGGCAAGAGAGGAACCCCAGATAGTGAGAACAGCAGCTGCAGTGCAGGTAGGATGTAGTCAAGACAGATACTAAGCAGATATAATAATTTTAAAGTCTTGGTTGTGATTTGGGCTGCTAGCACCCAGTGGGTGCTTCTAGTGACTTAGTCCTGGATGGGATGGTGGGGAAGGAAGTCATGGAAGGCTTCTTGGAGGAAGTGGCATATAAGCTGAGACTTGAAGGATATATGGGTTAGGAACTCGCAGCCAGGCACCGTGGAGGAGGGGAGAGCCTGCCCAGGCCACTTGGGAAGTGAGTGAGGGACGGTGAGAGGGAGATGGGGCTGGAGAGGTTAGGGTCTTCTGGACTCAGCCTGAAAAGCCAAGGGAGGCTGGTGACTGGTTCTAAGCCAGGGACGTCTTGACCAGGTTTTCCTTTTACCAAGGGTATTCTATTTGGGGAGCAGATTGGGGAGGGTGGGAGGCGTTACCAGGGGTGCAGGAGCAGCTGACGGGCGCTAGCACCAGGGGGCAGTCGAGATGGAGAAAAGCAGGCCCATCAGAGAACTATTGGGGAGGTAAGATTGACTGGGGGGTGAGAAAGAAGGCAGTGACAGTGATGACTCCAAGGTAAGACACGGGTGTGGAGTTGTTTCTACTGCCTATGGGGGTGAAATCAGGTGAGGAACGAGTGTCTGATTAATGGCCTTGGGGATATGGAGGTCTTAGGCCTCAGCGAGAGTCTGGAGAAGGGTGGGAGGAGGGAGGCAGAGGGGCCATTGGAGTGGGGGTGGAGGGGGTCCTACCGCTGCTGACTCACTGGTAACCCACCCGGCCCAGCTCTCCAGAGCACCGGGCTGGGCGGGAGAGCAGCCTCGCCTCCGTGTGCTCACGGCCAGCATTCCTAAGCCGTGAGCCTGAACTACACACCTGGCATTTTTCTTGCTGTGTTCTCTCTCAGTGGGAAGCCTTCAGCCTTCCAGAACTACAGAACTTCTTGCGCATCTTGGACAAGGAAGAAGACGAGCAGCTGCAGAACCTGAAGAAGCGCTACACAGCCTACAGACACAAGCTGGAAGAAGCCCTCAGCAAGGCGTGGAAGCCTGATTAAAGTGCAGGGCTCCCTGCCAGGAAGGTGCAGTGCGGGACCCATGGCCGAAACAGCGGCGAGTGCCTCTTCTCGGAGGCCACTTTCTTGCCCCATGATGATAGGGTCATCCCCCTTTTATCTCTAAATTTAGTTCCCAAAACCTGGTCATGCAGCATCTTGCACCTTACACATCCCGCCTAAGGGCCTTTGCAAGCTTGCTCTGTTACAGCACTGCCTGTTACCTCTCGGCAAGCTGTGAACCTGTAGTCTCATCAGGAGCATTCTAGAATGCTTGGAAGCATAAACTCTGGGGGGTTGTTTTTTTTTCTTATTTTCTTTTAGCTATTTTAATTATGTGATGATGATGTTAAGCTTAAGGGTGCGCAAGTGATATTTTAAAAGCTTAACAAGGAATCTCTGAATACTTGTCCTATGTTGAAACTACCTGTTTTTTGTGTTTGGGTTTTTTTTGTCAGAAGATTCTGTCCATGTGAATCGAAAGGCACAGAAATCTAGGAACTGTGAGGAATTTGTGAAGGATTTTGTAGGGGTTTGACAAAGAAAGTGAAGAGCACGTTGGAAGAAGGCACGTGCAGAGGTGGCGAGCTCCTGAGGCTGGGGAAGGTAGAGGAGAAGGGCGTGTTTGCTTGTGAATGGGTTTAAAGCTTGCAGTGTTGAGATGTTAAACCCATTTTAGGATTGCTTGACTTCCTGGTGGGTAAAATGTGGGAACAGAGCCAAAGAGGTGGAGCCGAACCAAAAGGAGGGGACCCATGAAGTCCGCCCCTGACCGGAGAATCAAGCAGGGGGATCTTACAAACCGAGACGGAGGTGGGCCTCACGCAGCTGCATCTGACCTCCTGCTTTCCTCTTGCAGTGGAAGCTACCGCGTGGTGCAGCTTCTCAGTACAGGCAGGGGAATGGCCATTTGCTGACTCCTGTTTAGTGATATATGTAGTTTCCCCCCCAGAGGTTGTTTTCAAAGTTGAAAAGGATTTTGGGCGGGGGCAGCTGCTTTTCCTTTGACTGTCAGCTAAGGAGGTTTATCAGGTAAAGGGCCCACAGCACACTTTTGTGACAGTCACTCCCTGTCCTCTTATGCCTCCCTTTCTTTCCCTTGTCTTCCCTTGCCCTCCCTACTCCCTTCCTTCCCTCTCCTCACCTCTTTTCTTTCTCCTTTTCTTTTATAAGGTGAAGTCTGTTCTTACGCAGTGTAGAACACGGATAGTGATTAAAGACCCCATGCTACCAGATCCTCATTTCCAAAGGCTGACTAGGCTGTGAGTACAAGGCCCCAAGAAAGAAAGTCCACACATCCAGCTGACCACACAACAGGGTTTCATTATGAAAATATTATCACAAAAGTGCATGTTTAACCAAAGAAATGAGTGTGCAATAAGAAGCCTTCCATGAAACTGGCGAACTAACATCATTTTTTGCAGCAGCTTATCTGAGAACAGAGGGAAAGGTGTGCTTTGGTTCCAGAGGGGCCTTACAGTCTATTTTTAGTCTAGATATTTTTTGTTTATAAATTCCCACGGAATTGTTAACACTTTGGTGACACCTAATGGATTCTTTTTGAAATTCCAAGGTGCTTCAGTTCTTTGCCTCTTAAGGGATCTGTGCCTTTTATTGCATTTCTGTTCCTCTCTTGGTGGCTCTTCTGACTTTTCGGAGAATACCCATCTTGTTGGAGGCAGATTTAAGTGTTGCTTATGCTGTGCCACGTAAGTTACTGAGACAATCATATCTTCCTAAGCTTTTAAGGAAAGAAAAAAACAGTAGAACTAGCTATAAAATATGTATGGCACATCTTGTTTAATTTTGCATGTAACTTCTTTTTAGTGCATTGGTAAGGTTTTAGTGACATTGTCATCCAACACTTTACCTTTATTGTTCAGGGAATGCCTTCACGATTTTTATACTGGTTTTACTATTCAGACTGTGGCTTGGGTTTGAATAGACTGCTATCAACCACCTGGTCTTGTAATTACTCATGCCAGTAAACTTATATTTTGTGAAACATTTGTTTCTCAGATTAAGACACTGTTAGAACCTAAAGTAGTAGCTGATGGGTATCTGTGAATTTTCTTTTTTTACTTGAAGTAGACTGTCTAAAATAGCCATCCTCATCTATTTTTGTCCAGAACTTCGCTGTCATGTGCACTACAAACTGCGATTTGGAAAACTTACTGTATTGAAATTCTGTCAGTTCATGGTTCTTGAAGACTGATGTTCTCTCCCAAACACTGGTTACTGCAGTAGCATTTTTAGTGTGTAAGAGAAGGAAAAAGGCCACTAAGGCCAAAGATTTTTAAAAATCATTGTACCAATCCTTATGTTAAATGAAACTGTCTAAGCTTTGCTGTAATACTGTTTTCTCTTCAGTATGTGATGGTACAGGAAAGATGTTAAATGAAGGGGTAGTATTGCAGGGGAGCATTTTAAATTGCATAAGTAAAAGGTTATAATATTTATAATTATGATGTGTTTGTTTATTTTTGTAGGGAAGATTTTTTTTCTCCCCTAAAATTGCTTCTGGAATGGCAACATTGTTTCCATTATTAAAAAGTGATGTTGTTCATTGATGTTGTGTGTTTTTATTTGTGATAATATGCTAGATAAAGAAAGGTCACAGGAGTGGGATGAGCTTCTTCAGCGGATACATGGGGACTCATGCCGGAGTACCATGGGTTTTACTAGGTTCGGGTGGGGCACATTTGTTCTCCCAAATGTCACTTTTCTTTTGCCTTAACCTCTGAGGAAAAATAACTCTGAATGTCTGCTCATACAGCACATTTCTATTTTACTTAAAACAATTGTTTTAATTGTGTAATATACATATATTCAAAAGTGTATGCAAACGGTTTATTATAAAGTGGACACGCTGTGACCACTACCAAAATAGAACCTTGTCAGTTCCTTAGAAATCCTCTCCCTCCACCCCATTCTTGCCCTGAGGTCTCCTACTCTTGAAATAGACCACTTTTAACAGAAAATGGGTATTCTTTAGTCTACATAACTGTCTTACACAGATGGGGTGGAAAGTGTCTGGGGAACGCGGTTGCTATGGGGTCTTCACTACCGCACTGCCCCCTGGAGGGCTGGTGAAACAGGAGCAAGCCTGGCACCAGGGGATGAGGGGAAACGTTTCAGGTATGATATCTGCTTTATAAGTGAAAATATTATGGTAGAATGTTAATGGTTCTACATAGTTCTCCTTTTTTGCTGAAATATCCAGAGGAATCTAGGTTGGGAGTTCAGTCTAGGTTACTACTTAAGGTGCAGGGGGAAATGTTTTGGAATTTTTATCCCTAAAGGGAGTTAACTTTCTGCCCTAGGCAGAAATTTGTCACAAATTGATAAACTGTTTAAATATTCCTATGTTGCAAAATCATAGAATTGTATACTGCATTTGGGACATTGTCAGATGGTCCTAATTAGGTGTTTTGTTGAAAAAATGGGGGTGCTTAAAATTTTCGTATGTATTAACTCATTTATTCTCAAAGCTTTATATGTATTAACTCATTTATTTCCCCATGAGGTAGGTATTATTAGATATATCCCCCTTTTACAGATGAAACAGAGACACTTTGAGGTGCAGCAACTTGCCCAAGGCCACTGTGTGAGTGAGTGGCACAGCCAGGAACTGCCTGGTTTCTCCACTGTCTCCCTGTAAGCTCTTTCCAGTTTTTCAGTTTTTTTAAACTTCCCATCAAAAGAGCTAACGCCTGTGAGATCGCCTCTAACAGGCTGGTTAGTTGAAGGCAGGCCTGTTTTCGTGCAGTCAGGCTTTGCTGATGTCAGTGCTTTCTCATCCATTTTATTGTTCATCATTCCATTTAGGTGACTAAGTTGCATAGAATAAAAAACCTACCTGTGTTTTCATTTAGAGGTTCTATTGCATGGGGGAGACTGACGGGGCAAGTAACCAAACCCAGTGCCCTCCCTGCAATTGGTAAGACAATTCCCTAGTACCACCAGGTGAAGAAAGCTTCACGGAGAAGTCGGAGTTCTGTAGGATTCGCCAAACATTTGCAAAGGCTTGACTCACTCATTTTACCCTCCCACAATCAAGGATTATCCTCCTCAAAGGGACACAGTGATCTAATATTCAACGTCCAAAGCAAACCACTTGTCTGGTGTGAATCACTACTTGCTTAATTAAATGTTCAAGTAAGAAATTTTGTATTATGATGGGGGTTGAGGGGAAGGCTGGAGGGGGAGGGGATGGGGAGTGGCAGGGTTATGTAACAACTTTCAGGTTAAATGTTTTAATTCCATCTGCAGGGTTGGGTTTGGGGTTTTTTGGTTGGTTTTGGTTTCATTTCATTTTTTTTTTTTTTTTTTGTAAATCTTTCCCTATTCTAGGAGGTGAGAGTGGCAGAGTAGAGGACAGATCCTTTTGATCTTAGTTTTCAAAAGACACTTGTGGTTTCTCACGTGTTTGGCTGAGGTAGCACTCGTCAGCAGTTGAACTCCAAAATGTGCTCTCTTCTTGTTTCTGTGAGCATTAGAACTTTTAAATATACAAACAGCAAAGCATCAGGACTCTTTGTGAACCTCAAAAAAAAAAAACAAAAAAAAAACTGGGATTTGTCTTTGCTTTGGGGAGGGAGTTATTTTAACCAGTAGAGGTTTTGTTATTGTTTTTAAATCTTTGTAAACAAGGATTCCTGATTATAATGCCCCTTGGTCATTAGTGGCATATATCTGGCTTGTGTTTTCCCAGCATATGCACTGTTCTCTCAGTTGAGCCTTAATGGACATGTGGGATTAATTAAGCCCTGAGTGGTTCCTTTCTCTCAAGTGGAGTTCTAGGGAGCTCTGCTCTAGAGGGCTTTCCTATTTACAGGTGCAATAAAATTTACTTAAATTCTAGGAATTCTGGAGCAGTAGACTTCATTGTCTTGCCAGAACGTAGGATTCTTGAATTATTATTATTGCAGGCAGGGAGGCAACAGCTTAAATTCAAGTCTTTTATTTAGAATTATAAATGGTGTCTTTAGATCCTTTTCAAAATGGCCAACATTTCAAATAGTTTCTTGCATGTGTGATCTCTGCAAGGGAAGCATTCAACTTTAATGATTTTTAGGTAAGATTGAGCATATCATCTAATGCCTTATCAAGGAAAGATGCTTGTCTGAGAATGTAAGGGCAACCATAGAAATTGAGGAATTTAGGTATCGGCCTTCAGAAAAGTCCAAGTTGGGCCAGCCCGGTGGCGCACTGGAGAGTGCGGCGCTTGGGAGCGTGGCGGCGCTCCCGCTGAGGGTTCGGATCCCATGTGGAGACTGGTTCCCACTCACTGGCTGAGCATGGTGCGGGTGCAACACCGAGGGTTGCGATCCCGTTACCGGTCAGTAAAAAAAGACAAAAAGGAAAAAAAAAAAAAAGAAAAAAGAAAAGTCCAAGTTCCATTGCCTTTCTTCCAGGTAAAGTTGTTTGGGGAGTTTGTATGTGCTGGGGGAGGAAGTGGGCTTCAAGGAGGATAACAGGGAAGATACACAGTGTGTCGGGGTGTGGGTGAGGCTGGGAACCATGTTCCTGTCCCCTTGTCACCCGTGTGCCCTCCCCACCCTGCATGTGTATTGTTTGTCCTTTTGCAACTCAAGTGATTGAGCAGAGACCCAGTCTTGTGCAAAGTCATTTGTAATGAAGCTGGTAGTTGGGAAAAGGCAGAGTTTAGATCTGTCAGAAGAGATTTCAAGACAAAACGAGGTTACCACACTATTTCTTAATGGACTGCCTTCAGAACTATGGGGAATGCTGATTTTTAAAAGGCAGATTTTTCTGTACGCTACTCAGAGCTACTGAATCTGATCTCCATTACTGGGCCCTGAGAATCTGCCATTTTAACAAGCACCCCATATTTTTTTTCAAATACTAACTGCAAATCCTACAGTGTTTCCAAGATTGAGGTACATCATTGTGCAGAGTACTCTTTCATACCTCTGGTTTTTTAAAATTTAAATAAATTCCTTCCAAACTGAGTGATGACTGGCCTACAGAGAGGCTTTCTGACCTGCCTCACTCAGCCCTGGAAAGGACAATTCTGTATACAGTATGACCCTGTTCCTCGGGGCCATGGCTAATTGGTTCTTGGTTAGATCTCTGATGCAATGCCATGTATCAATTACTTTCTCAAAATTTTACGTAAAGTATCAAGAATTCTAGTCAGTCAGTCATGGATACTTACAGACTGGGGGCTGAGCCTACCACCGAACCTTTTATCAGGGCAGAGAGAGACTGCAGAGAAAGCAGGAGAATGGAGCAGAGAAGCAGAGAGGAGAGGCTATGTGGCCTTGGAGATGGACAGTAAATTCAGAACCTTCCTGACATTTTCCAGCTGTTGGATGCTTCATGGTAACCCTTTTCCCTTAGTAAAGAATTGTCTTTGTTTACATGAGCTCCATACTCTTGTGCCTATTTCTACCGTGGGA